AATCATTTAGGTCATCATGTCACCACCAGCTTTGCACATCTATTAAAATTTCTATGCCCTCTTGTTTGGAAAGTAAAGTTGAGTCAGACTGGAAGGAGGTCTGACAACAGCAATTGTATTGCACAAAGATTCGCAAGTTTATGCCTTTTGTTCATTGATTTTAGTTCTGACTCATTACGACCTTGTCTGCTCTTACAGAAAATGACTCAGATGAATTCTAATCATTTTATTATTAAGTAGTTGTATTCTTTTTTAACGAATAGAACCTGAAATGTCAAGATTAATGACTCAATTTCAGAATCCAAATGAATCAGGGTTATGAAAGCTCACCGGTTCTGTTCACCCTTTACACAAACAACTGCACCAGTAGTCTTCCAGGCAACCACAACTATTTTTGAAAGCAATCTTAGTCTCAGTCTTCAGGATGAAAACTTTATTAGTCTTAATCGCATTTTAGTTATTACGATGTGTGATGTGTAGTTTAAGTCGAATTTAGTTGATGAAAACTTAGAAAGCTTTTAGTCTAGTTTTAGTCAGTTTTATTCAGCAAAAAAAGTTAACCTTTACAATTTCGAATAACAACCAGATCCTTAACCAGACTGACTCTTGCCTAGATATTACAATTGCTGGATATAGAATGCTGCCGTGCATTTCATCATTGCTGTTGGACAGCAAACTTTGATTTAGAAAATTCAAATAAACTTTTGATTGTTTCAGGTCACTTTGTTCACTCTGTTTCTGCACTGATAAGCTCTAAAACCAAATTGAAACTCTTCAAAAAGTTAATTATGGTGTAAGTGGTCACATACTAGTTAAGCAACTGTTTTGTCAAGAAGTTTTGATAAGAAAGGAAGACTGGATATAGGTCTATAATTGACCAAGTCAACTGGGTCAAGAGACGGTTTCTAAAGTAAAAATTGAATTACAGCAACCTTTAAAGCCTTTGGTACATATCCCTGTAACAGGGAGAGATTAATCACATCTAAAATGGAGGAGGAGATCAAAGGGAATACCTCCTTAAATAACCTGGTTGGAACTGGATCTAACATACAAGTTGAAGGCTTTGATGAGGACACTAGTTTTGCTAACTCTGAAAGTTCAACTGGATCAAAGCAAGCTAAAGTTCAGATTCTATGGCTACCTCAATTTGTTCAGTGGTGTGACAAGAACTACCTCACAATCAACACTAAGAAAATGGAGAATGCTTTTTACCCTCTGTCAGTAGAGGATCATACCCCACTGTTCATTCACATGGAGGTCATCAAATAGGTGACCTCATATAGGTATCTAGGTATATTAACCTTTTAAGATGGGGTGATCATATTGACTATGTTTCGATTTACAGCAAAGGATGTATTTTATACGCAGGCTGAGGGTGTTTGATGTGAGTCAGAACATCCTGTTTTTATTCTACCAGGCAGTGATAGAGAGTATCATCAGGTTTGGGATGACGTTGTGGTTCGGCAGTCTTTCCACACAGGCTAAATCAAAGTTGCAGGGCCTGGGACAGACTGCTATGCTGGTGATATGTAGAATTGAAATGATCTCCCTTCAGTCCATCTATAAGCAGTTTGTAATCAGAGTACTGCTGGACCCGTTCGAAATCCTTTATAACGATTAAAAACTATTGCCTTTTTTTTTATTTATTTTTAATTCTTTGATTGACTTTATTGATCTCCCAGCGAATAAATTTAGAATGTATCACTGGGAGAAAAAGGTGCACGGGATATATATATATATACAGTATATACAGTGCGTCCACATATGAATGTTTTTTATTTTTTTATAGTGGGATCATTATACAGGGTTATTGAACAGGGTGTTGACATGGGTATTTATATAGATGGACATTTATACTTATATATATAGTTATTGCAATGGGTGTTAAATATGGAGAAGCAGGTTATTGCATCTGGTATCAAATAGTAAATTGCGCATTATACATTGCACAAGTTATTGTGTTGTAGTGTCACATTGTAGTGTCTGGTTGCAGCAAGTGTATTTGTATGAGTATGTATGCAGCCTATGTGTGTTTTTAGTTGGTATTTGTTTTTATGTGTATTTATTGTATCTAATGGGAGCTACTACTGTGGACTGTGCACTTGGGTCCATGACAAATTTCCCCTAGGGAACAATAAAGTATATTATATTCTATTCAATTTAGATCTGGACTTTGACTGGGCCATTATAACACAAGTTTGCTTTGATCTAAATTATTTACTTTTAATAATGGGTCTACATTTAGGGCCTATTTTCTACTTGAAAGTGAATCTCAGTCACAATCTAAAAGTATTTAGCAGAAGGTTTTATTCTTAGATTGTCCAAACATTTGTCTCAGTCCAGCTTCAAATTGACTCTGACCACAATGCTGCTTCATTCATATGTCAAGCTAAGGATGTGTTGTACAGGATGTGTAATACTCTACACAATTATTATTATTGTGAAAGTCATTCTAAATTAATTTCAGTAGAAAATTATTTCAATATTGCAGCAAAGAAGGTGTATATTCCTTTCTGCAGCTCTATTAACCTTCTATCTATAGACAAAGACCTATGTGAAAATTGTGTGAAATATTTCAAAGAGGATTTAACACAAATGGACCAAAACTGGACTCCAGATAACTTGTGTTATTCAGGATTTCAAATGTATCTTAACTTTGACAGCATCTTTGCTTGTTAAGCCTTAAAAAGAAGCCACTTTGTGTGTTGAAAGTCCATTTATATGCATACTGAGATAAAATGTCAGGTTGTTTGTATTTCATTTATGTTTATGCTTATGGTTTATTAAGATATCCATGATTTCTAGGCTAAGGCTCTTATAAATCATGTTACTATAGGAATAAAATCACTTTAGAGAAACGTGATTATTAGAAATAGCTTTTATTTTTTTCTCTATCAAACACTGCCACCAACTGACCAAAAAGTCAAATTCATAAAAGCACGCTACATACATTGATTGGTCATGCAGTGCCAGGTTTTCTCTCCTATTCTTTAGCCTAAGATCACAGACTAATGGTTGGACATACATGCAGAATACATGTTCCCTAAATACATGATTCCCTAAAATGAGGCAAGTAGTTCCTAAGGTAAAAAACTATTTCAGGTATGGTGTCAGTATTATATAGATGCTTCTCAGCTGCTGGGTTAGTTTGATATCATAGGGAAAACATCACATCTAGATTCAATCTCATTATTCTCTGGAACATTTTGGCAAAACTCTTTGGGGATTCTAATTTCTAGCCTCAATCATGAATATTGATGTAAACTTAGACAGGTTAGGACTGTAATGTTTTACTTTTTGTCACTTTGTATGCTGACAACTCCTGCAGGAACGTTGAACATTGGTGGCAGAACTCTTTATAGAACTCAGTAGGGAACCCATCTGGACCTGGCGCTTTATTATTTGGCATGCTTTTTTAATGCTTCCAGAACTTCAACTGTGGACAGCAGTGAGTCCAGGGTCGCTCTTTGACTCTCTGAAGAGTTATTTTATCCAGAAATTGCTTGATGTCATTATCTGATGGATTTAACTGTGATGTGTATAAAGATTTATAGAAATCTCAGAAGGCGTTGTTAATACCCTCCGGATCCTGTAACGCAGGGGTGTCAAACTGGTTCCAGAAAGGACCGTGTGGCTGCAGGTTTTCTTTCCAACCAAGCAATAGCACACCAGACT